ACTGCAAACGAGCCACATTCTCTCTCAGACTCTCTCTCTCTCCCTTTCTCCCTCCCTCTCTCTCTCTCTCTCTCTCTCTCTCTCTCGCTCTCTCTCTCTCTTGTTCTTCTTCTGCACAACCTCTCTCTCCCCCTCTCGCTCTCGCTCTCTCTGACGGGGACCCCAACTTTGGGCATGGCCTTGCAGAAGCTCCAACCGCCGTTTCAGCAAGTTCCAGCCTGGCTCTCACTGCCAATCTCGACTCACCAATCTTGAGAGAAAGCGGCGCCGGAGCTGCGCCAGCTGCGCTGAATGCAGATGGCCGCACGGCGGTGAAGAACTGCATCTGCCAAGCCTCAAAAAACTTCGCAAAACCCCTCGGACTCCGAGGCTGGGAGGCGCTCGCAGTTGAAGTGCCCGGCTTCCCAGCGAGAGCCGCTCGTTGTGGGCCCTGAAAAAAAGAGCAGCGAAACGCAGCAGCCGAGCGCCGCAGTGCACTGTGCCGGCCTCCAACAGGACTGGATCACCGTCGCTGCAGCGATCTCTGCCACTGCCTGCACAGGGGGCTGCGCTCTCTTGGCGGACAGGATACAGTGCGGCCAGTGCTGGACCGCACTGTCACGCTTTGTGCTCCGGGTGTACATCTCGCAGAATCTCGCATCTTGCATTGCCAGCGTTCTGATGATGCTGTCGCAGCTGGCTGCTGCGTCCGCCATTTTCTGAGGCTTTTTGTGCACACCAACAAGAGAGAGTCTCGAGAGAGTGCGTGGCTCTGTGGGCGAACTGCCTGCTTTTATGCGTGCTAGCTGGCTTCTGCGATGGGTTTTCCTTGTGGACGGCTCGCTCGCAGCTCGCAGACGGATGGCGCTTTCTTGCGAGTCCTCTTTTGCTTCCGCAAACTTCTTCCAGAAGTGGATCCGACTGTGATCCCCTGGCTTGCACGCTTTCTCTTTGAGAAACGAACAGCAGCCCTTGAAATTGCAAAGAGAAAGATCGAACTCCACCTGAAAACACAGGCGGCGGAAGGCACAGAGAGCACCTCTCGGTGCTGTCACGCTGCGCACACCCTGATCACTTTTCCCCAAGTTTGGGACTTCTGAGAGCTGCCTCTCACACAGCTCGCAGCTCAGCTAGCATCGGTTTCCGCGAGCGGAGAGGTCTCTGCAAGCGGAGATGTCTCCACTGGCGAGGCCTTTTGAATTTGAAGCTCAAGACAAAAGACAACGCACAACTCTCAGCAGCCAAGAGCTTTCAACACTGCTTCCAACCGACCTCATGTAAGGAACCGGTCGAGGCCAAGGAGGCTTGAGAGGCTCCGTGCGATGCTGCAGTCGTCAGACTCTGGGCACTGGTTTTCGTCCTCGGCCACGGCACGCTCCCAAGCATGATGTGGATACAATATACGTATACATATTATGTGTGCATGTGCATCTATCTGTTTGTCTGTCTGTCTATCTATCTATAGCTGCCCATCTACCTATCTATCCATCTATCTAGGATCTATCTATCTATATACCGATCTTACCTCCTCTCTTTCAAGTATTCCCCTTTCATTTTCTGATTCTTCCCTCTCCTAGGTGCAGCCTAGCATCAGATCCTCGGAAGGCTTTTGTTGATCCTGTTTGAGGGTCTCCAAGGATCGGGAAGGGGGCTTGAAGCTCACCCGCATCCGTGAAGGCCGCGGGAACTCGCGGGAAGCCTCCAGGTCCACCACCTGTGCCGCCGCTCTGAGCCACTCTGCGAGGGAGATGGAGGTCTGTCGTGCCTCGGCCTCGGCCAGGGCCCGCAGCGCTGGTCCTGAAAGCAAAGCGGGATTGCCCTCGAGCGTTCAGAGCACGTGCACTTCGAAGCTCCTGTGAGGCGAGCGAAATTGGCCTGGTAGTTCCGTCACATGTCGTGAAGTGCTCTGAGGGCTTGGCCTGGATGGCCTTAATGGGAAGTCCACGAGTGGCTCGAGGTTGCTGTGCGTAAAACTCTGGCGCAACCGCCTCAGCCAAAGGAAAAAGTTCTTTTCTATGGGTTGCTGTTGACCTCATTTCGCTTGGCCTCGGGGCCAATGTCCCGCTTCTTCGGGGTCTTCTCCGGAATCGCGGAGTTGGCCTACATCGTTCCGGATACTCGTCTTACCGCTGCAACGCTTCCCACGAACCTTTGGAGTGGCTGCCAAGACCTACATGAGCGCGTGTTAGATGCGCCATGCTCTCTGACTCCTCTGTTTCTGCAAAGTGGCGTCCACGGAGATGCTGTGCCGAAGCCCTTGGCGGCCTCCTAGATAAACCGTGCGGAACCAGAGTGTGCCTTGTCTCTCTGTCCGTGTGTGTTTGTGTTTTTTTGTATGTCTGTGTGTGGAACCGCGCTACCAAGCGATAGGACCTAAGCTTTGTTGATCATTGCAATGGTTTTTCAGGGAAGCTATGCTACGTCGCCTTCACTGCATGCTTTTAACATCTTTGAACGCGAAACGCGATATGAATATCGGCTTTCACCGACAGTGGCAGCAGCAACACAATTGTGACCACCACGAGGATGCTAGTATCCAGGATGCAGAATTTTGCATGTACATTTAGCTGTTCAGTTTCTCCACGACATTGGTGCGCAAATAATCCCGAAACAAACATCGTTTGCTATTTCAAAAACGGTTTACGAGTGTATCAATCGCCTTCATCGCCTTATTCAATATCTTTGAACACAATCATTTGTGGTACTCACCAACCGCCGCAGCACTACATCGACTTCGCCACCTTCAACAGCTTTGAGCACGACACCTACATGACCTACATGCGCTCACATCAACTCCGGTTCCCACCAACGGCACTACATCGACTCGATCGTTTTCAGCATCGTTGAGCACGACGGCCACATCCGCTTTAATCATTTTTGCTTACCAACCGCGGCCGCACTACATTGACGTCAACGCTTTCTACATCGAAATCATCGCCTTCTACATCTTCGAACACGACATCAAACATGGACTGCAACCGTTTGGGTGTTCACAGTGTTCACCAACAGCGGCAGCACTAGATCGACTTCATCGGCGTCAACATCGTTGAGCACGACGTCAATGTGAGTTTCAACTATCGTGGTATTCACCAAGGGTGGAGCACTACATCGACTTCATCGCTTTAGTCTTTGCGCAGGACGTCAAACCGGCTTCATTAACGTTGGTATTTGCCAACGACAGTAGCACTACATCGACTTCATCGCCTTCAGCATCTTTGAGTCTGACGTCGACGCTGTCTTGGAGCATTTGGATATTCGCCAGCATCGGCATCGCTACATCGACTTCATTGCCTCCGACATCTTTGAGCACGATGGCACGATGTCAACGGCGGCTTCAATCATCTTTGGTATTCACTGCACGCAGCAACGCTACACCGACTTCATTGCCTTCAACATTTTTGAACGCGATCATGAATGTCTGCTTCCATCATCTTGGCATATTCACCAACAGTGGCAACAGGAACATGTTTGTACCCTGGACGAGGATGCTAGTCTCTAGGATGCAGAGTTGTTGTACATTTAGTCTTTTGGAATCTTCGCCACATTTTGGCTTTCGAGTAATCCCGGATTTGTTCTTTTCACAACATTTTCAATCGGTGAATCGCCTTCATCGCCTTCAATATCTTTGAGCATAACTTCAACTATCTTAGTTGTGATATTGTTCACCAACAGCGGCAACATGCATCGATTTCATCGTCTTCTGCATCTTTAACCGCGATGTCAATGTTGGCTTTAATTATTTGTGATATCCACCACCGCTGCAGCACTACATCGATTTCGCCACCTTCAGCATCTTTGAGCACGACGCCTACATGCGCAGACATCATCTCTGGTTCTCACCAGCAGCACTACATCGGCTTGATGGCCTTCAGCATCTTTCGAGCACGATGGCCACATCCGTTTCAATCATTTTGCTCATCAACAGCGGCAGCACTTCATCGATGTCATCGCCTTCTACAGCGATGTCATCGCCTTCTACATCTTCGAGCACGACATCAAAGTATGGGTATCAATCAATTCGGTGTTCATCCACAACGACGGCACTACATCGACCTCATCGCCTTGAACGTCGTTGAGCACGGCGCCAACACCAGCTTCACTACATCGACTTCTTCGCCTTCAGCATTTTTGAGTATGATGTCAACGTCGTCTTCAAGCATTTGGTATTCGCAGATAGATACCATTGCAACATACAACTTGCGCCGAGATGACCGAGCATTCCTCCAATGGAGGTGGGTGTGTGTGGGGCCCCCAAACTAGAACGGATTGATCTAGCAGTTCTTCCTCAGAACGAGCCTTGGGGATCAGATTCCAGCAGGGGCGTGCAGCACCTTTCGCATACTGCCCGCAACGAAGCTATTGCCAAAGGTTGGAAGGGATGAAAATCTTTGCTGCGCGCTGCTTCGCTTGACAGTCGGTGGGTCAGAAGTCGGAGCATGCAACTGTTACAGGTTGCAGGTGACCCTTGGCTTCATTTCTAGGGAAAACACCAGCAAGGTAACCTGAGCCCATTGAGGGGCCTCCTGCAAAGCTTTCTACTTTGATGCTCTCAGTTGAGTTCCTTTGAGTTCATGTCTGAGTTGCGCTGACACAGGTTGAGAACAACATCGGGCATGCCAGAATGCTCAAGTACGTGTGTGTGCGTGTGTTTGTTTTTTTTTTTTTTCGTTCGTTCGTTCTCATCTCTTGGGGGTGCCGGTGCGGATGGGTGCATGGGGGTGCGCGAGGGTGCATCGGGCACCGTGACGGTGCATGCGGTGCATGCGAGTGCTTGTGCGTGCGGCACGCGGCGCGCACGCGCAACATCGTCGTGCGCGCAAGCTTGCACGTCAGCGGCACGCTCACGCGCATGCACCGCCTCACGCGCTCTTGCGCGCGTGCGCGAGCCTGCGGGCGCGCGGGCGTGTGCGTGCGGAGTTGCGCTCCTTTGTGGCTGGTCATCTCCAGGTTGGGGATGCCGAAGAGCTGCAGGTGGCGCTGTGCATCTTTCTTCTCCTTGGAAAGAGGCGGGGAGAGGAGAGAGAAAAGAGAAATCAAGAAGACTCATGTTAACTCTCAATTGCGACTGAGAATCTAAAGAGCTCAAAGAGCGGACATCCATCTCAGGCACCTCTCCCTGTCCGCCTGTGCCTCTTTCCATCGGCTCACGCTCAGCCGGCAGCAGCCAAGGCGCTACCACGGAGGGCGTCAACGCGCAGCGCACCCTGGGGCAACAGGGTGCGATTTTTAGATGCGTCGCTGCTAAAGATCTCTTCGCATGCATCAATGCATCCTCGCTTTTGGGCCCTATGCCTCGGGCCTCGGGGGTGGCTCCGTCACGGTCGTCTGCTCCGCACGAGCTTTGGGGAAGTGGCGGCGACTCGAAGTCGCTGCCAATTTCGTTGAGGAGGGAAGGACGCCGGAGATCGGAGGGGGCGAGGCCGAGCGCGCGTGGCCTCGCCCACGCCAAGGCAGCGCCAAGCCTCCATAAAGAATCGAGCTCGTGCAGAGCTTCGTGCTCGGCTCCTAACTTGGGCCGAGTCACCGTTGCTGGAGAGCCCCGCGGGCTGACCTGATTTGCTCAGAAAGCGCACTCATACGGCGGGTCGGACCTTCTGGCGAGAGCCGCGCTGGCCGACGAGACGGCCATGCGAGGCGGCAGGCGGAAAGCACAGGTCAAAGGCACCTTCCTTCTCTCAAGCCCGTGCTCCACTAAATGCTGTTACCTGTTACAGCTTGAGCCATGGCTATGACCGGCTATGAAGACATGCCACGCCCTACATTCAGATGACATAGGACATAGGCTATAAAGTCCACAGGACCGGCTTCGAACGATTAGGTAGGGTCTGCTTACGTTTCGACATCGGGCAGAAGTGCAACTCGGTCCGCCTTGCCGTAGAGGGCCTTGGATCTTCATAAAGTTACGTGAATCACGGCCTCAAGTGCCATCAGCGGGCACTACGATTGAGCAGCCAGCAGGAACAGCTTCGACTGACGGCAACAACTTCGCAAGCCTTGGAGAGATCCGACAGATGCGCTGCATGAGGAACGCTGCTGCGACACTCAAGAAGCTTGGGGGCTTGGAGAAGGCGTGCAGGGCGTAGCACATCTCGAGCGCCACCTCCCGAAATCCAGCGGACAAACTCTGCCGCTTCCGCTTCAGCTCAGAGCTCTCCAAGGCCGCCTTTGCCGTCGGCATCTGAACCATAAGGACGCGCTGGGACAGCCTCAGAAATCACACGGGGCATCGCGGGCGCGCGCGCGCGCGCCCGAGCGCCTGGTGTATGCGGGCTTGCGAAATCGCTACCTTTCTCTCCGCACATCGCTTGGCCAATAGATCTCATTGGCAGAACTCGCTCTTTCGAGGGTGTCGGGAGAGCTCACACACCTTAAGGTTCCAGGAAAGTGTCGGCTCAAGCGGCCGCTGACGAGAACTCGTTCTCTCCTGCCTTGGCTTTGAGGCAACCGGCTTTGTCTTCGCACGCGCCCGCGCCTCGGCGTCAGCTTCGCGGCCCTCGTGGCCCTCAAAATGCAAAGCACATCTTCGCTCTTCGGTCTCAGAGAGGGCGCAATCCTTCCACTGTCCATCATGCACGCAGAACGCCTCGCGAGGCGACACAACTGGAACGGGCAACGAGTGGTTTACCTGCAAATTCGCCTCGGCCTTGCCGAAGCGGTCAGAGGTTTATACAAAGATCCCTGACCCACCCCTTGTCGAAGCCCACCCCCGCACCCCCACCCTTGAAACTAGATTTGGGGTTGGCAAGCCCTGCGTGCAGAAATTCTGCAGGCGGAGACTGGGCTTCCCCCCCCCCC